CTGCATATTTAAGAGTAGAATTTCAAATTGATTTTTCCAACCATCATCATCCTTGACCTTAAAATTGGAACAAACACATAGGAAAGTCATTTAATTCCGTCATTATGTTTTTAACACCTATAACTTGCAGAATATGTGGAAATTCAAAGAAAACTAACAGTGATCTGTTCTCCAAACCACACAATCTAATAAGAAATCCAGCAATCTAAATAAGGTTGCATTTGCAGTACTACAGGACACAACTGTGTTCACTGGTGGAGCTTGGTAACAGCAAAGGGCAGTGGCAGGAGGCACTGGGCCCAGAACTTCACCCGGGCTTGAGAAAATGATTTTAGAGCCAAGCATGTATATCTTAGCATGTTGTATTTACAAATTGACTTTAATTTTTTTTAAAGATTTATTTACTTATGCATATAGAATGTGGGTACAGGCCAGAGGCTCAGGGGCGGTAAAAGGCTTCACCAGAGACAGAGTGGGGAGCAGAACAGGCAGATCGATGAAGTACACTGCTGAGGGGAGCAGCAGGAGGGTCAGGAGAGGTCTGCCGCACCATGTGGTTACCTCCAGGGCAGGCGGGAATTGAACTCATGCGGAAATGGCTTTAGCTTCCTAGTGCAGCGCTTTAACCCGCTGTGCCACCAGGGAGGACCCCAAATTGACTTTTTTTTAATACAACATTTGATATTTATGCAAACTAATTGAGAGAATTTATTCAAATTAAAAGAAAAATTTTATGTAATTTCTACTACATGCAAGATTACACATTAATATACAGGGTTACAAAGTTTTAGAAGACTTTTCTGACTCTGAGTGGTAATTTCTGACTTAAACCAAAATTGCTATAGTATGAGACGTATTAAAATTATAGGGCCCTCCCTGGTGCCACAACAGATTAAAGCACAGCATTATGAAGCTATCCATAGCCACTGAAATGTAAGTTCAATCCCCAGCCAGGCAGGTGACCCACATAGTGTGACACACCTCTCCTGTCTCACCTGTTGCTCCCCTCAGCAGTGTACTTCAGTCAACCTGCCTATTTTGCTCCCCGCTCCATCTGTGATGAATCCTTTTACACCCACACCTCTGCCTTGTACCCCAGTTCTGTACACATAAATAAATAATTTTTTAAATCTCATTTAAAAAAAAAAACAAAAAGCAAAACATAGTAATAGCCACTAACCCAGCAAGGAATTCTATTATAAGAATTATACAATGTAAACTATATTATAAGTGTTACAGATATAAATACATGATATGTTGAGTATGATAATTATATAAGTAAGACAACAGCCATTTGTACAATAATGTCAGAGTAGATAATTTTTAATAACACATTATATTTAAAAGAGCCTGAAAGCCCTCATAGTAGTTTTCTGAAGTTACATGTCCATGTTTATTTGAGGAGAGTCTTACTGACTTAAAAATAAAGTCATTCTTGAGCCCTCCCTGGTGGCACAGCAGGTTAAAGCACAGCACTAAGAAGCTAAAGCCACTTGCATGAGTTCAATCCCCACCTCAGAAGTGACCCACATGCACCCCCAGACCTCTCCTTACCCACCTGCTGCTCCCCTCAGAAGTGTACTTCATCAATCTGCCTGTTCTGATCCCCGTTCTGTCTCTGGTGAATCCTCTTTAAAGTGTCCCTGCACCTCTGGCCTGTACCCCAGTTCTGCATGCATAAGCAAATAAATCTTTAAAACAATAAATAAAATAAAGTCACCCTTTACTCTCCATATCACCTGACTTATTTCTGCACCAATTATTAACTACTTATATTCTGGAAGTATATGCTGGTACAGGCCTTACTGAAAGAACTTGGCTATGTAAAAGTTAGCAGAAATGGCCTCATCATACAGTGTGCTTACCACATTTTTTTATCCCAGATATTTATTCTTGGTGTAAGCATCCAGGTAGTAACACAATTTATGAGGCCCTATAAAGAAATATGCCACAGAGAGAAGGGGTTCAAAAATGAAACAACTTTATTAACACTTTTTGCATGTAAGCCAACCCAACTTTTGCAACTTAAAAATCAGCATGCAAGCAATGCCAATATAAACTTAGTAACCATAAAAATAGTGTCTAAATAGCTCAGAAATGTGTTCACGTGCACCTATTTGTGAAATTCATAAAAGAACAAGTAGCAGAAAATGAATTCTCTGTGAGGATCAATGTGCACATAGACTTGGTAATGAAATATCCTGTGGCACCAACATATAACTCTTCCAAATGAGAATGAGGAGCCCCAGAATCCGTAACACAACAAAATCCAAACAGAACCATTAAACAACTGTGAATGACTTTATTTATTAACGTTTAATGAAATAAAGATATTAAATGAACTAAGTGTCTCACTATTAGGCACTTTGTCAAGACTGAATTTGCACAAATTGAATGTAGCCATTCGTTTCAATACCTATGACTGCCACTATACCCCAAATTATCAAAGGAAATGTGCTAGTCATTTATTAAAAGTTCTTTGGGAAATAAATGTTTCAGATCTTATTCAATAATTGTATAATGCATTTCAACACTTCAAAAAGCAGCCCGTTACAAGTATAGAACTTGGCGATTTATTAAATGATTCCTTACATGGTCTCTTTTCCTCCCATTTATACCTTTGTGTTTTTTTTGTTTGTTTGTTTTAAGATTTATTTATTTCTTCATACAGAACTGGGGTACAGGCCAGAGATGCGGAGGGTGAGAGGATTTACCAGGGACAGAGTGGGGAGCAGAACAGGCAGATCAACGAAGTACACTGCTGAGGGGAGCAGTGGGCGGGTCAGGAGAGGTCTGCCGCGCCATGTGGTCACCTCCCGGGCAGGCGGGAATCGAACTCATGCGGAAGTGGCTTAAGCTTCGCAGTGCAGTGCTTTAACCCGCTACACCACCAGGGAGGGCCTATACCTTTGGTTTTTAATAGCCTGTAGTTTTATTATCTCCCATAGGCAAAGTGCTCCCAAAATGACCATTGATAAATAAGTTACTCATTTATTTTAAATAAAGTTCTATTTCTTGCATTTTTTTTAATGTCTTCCCCTGTAGAGAATTAACTTAAGGACTTTTTTTTTCACTGACCAATGAATATCTTCTCAAATAAGAATATTAAGTTTCATTGCTTTTATTCTCTACTGAAGCCACGTCTCACTGCCCCAGCACAGAATCCCTCGCCCCACTTTCCCTGCTTCCTTTTCCCCACACTGCACTTGCTAGCTTCTACCACGTTTTACAAACAAACTCCTTATTGTTTACATTCATTGCTCACTGTTTGTGCTAGAATGTAGCTTCATGAGCAGAGGGATCTTTGCTTGCTCACTGAAGCATCTAGCCCTGAAGGATTTCACCCAGCATTTAGATCAGTGCCTGCCCCTCACACTCAAAATATGTTTTAATTAAGTGAATGAACTGTTTTACCCTTGCTTTGGTTTTCTTGCTATTTGTTATTTGTTTGTTTGTGGAGGTAATGTGGGTTTACAACAGTGTATGTGATTTTAGAGTATAGGCTCATATGTTTTCAGATGTATGTTTCCCCACTACCTCCACACCAAAGCACTACCTCCACCTCAGCCCCTAGGATCCTCCCCCTGAAGCTCCCCACTCCGGCGCTCCACTCTGGCAACTCAGTTCTGCCCTCAGATTTGGTTTAGTTTTTTGCATAGCTCCTTTTGTTTCTCTATATTCCAACTGTGAGTGAAATCACAGATCATTTCTAACTTACTTTAGTTAGCATATCAACAAAAGTTCTATTTACCTTGTGCTTTGATTTGATAAACTGATAAAAATGAGTGAAAACCTTCAGAATTGAGTCCACATTTCCCATCTTGAATATTGATGTATGCTTAAACACCCAAATTCAGTTGTGCTCACCTCCAAATGTACTTGTTTGCCTCATTCTACATATAAAATACAGATCCATTTTAAAATAAAAATCATTTTTATCAGGTGACTTAACCACAGAACAATAGGTTTGCCTGTGCTCAATTAAACCTCTGCATGTATAACCAAGCCTGAGAAATGAGCGAGGTTTGGTTGCTCACTGCCATTGTGGCAGTAGATGGGGTGGGGGATGGGTAGTAATCATATGGCCAAGATGGCCGTGGCCCATGCTGCCCCTGGGTCAAGCCTCCATTGTGATTTTGTGCTTCACTAAGGAAAAGGGAACAAGGAACAACTGTGAAAGAAAACAAAATGCCCTTAATATATGAACTGTATGGTTTCCTGCTAAACTATTCTATAGATTCCAGATCTAAAACTGGCATCAGACATCACTTGGAGTGAGTTATAGAATTTCCTGAGATAAGCCATACCTTCACAGACATTCAAAAAATGTTCTTTGGGTTTCTTTGGACAATCTTCATGACATCAACAGTCAAGTCTTGAAAGGCACAAATGACACGAGTACTGAAATATTTCTATGGACAGGATCAAACTTTTATAGCCACCAATAAAAGAAGACACTCCATTAGGGAGTAAATATCATCGATCCCTCATGTTAGATGAATTTAGGTCACTTTAGAGCTGGGATTATTGATTCCTTTGCCACTCATGATCCTAGAAATTAGGGATTAATTTCCTCATGTCTTCCCTAGTATATTCTCAACTCTTCTAAGTCAGGTAAAGCAGTTGATCAGGCCAGAGAGTATGTAGAACGAGAACATGGTGTGAATTCTGGAGCCTAGTTCCCAGGATATGAGAGCATAACCACTCAGCCTCTCAAGAAGTTTGAACTTTATTACTAAGTACTCTACACCATTAATCAGAAAATGAAGTTTTGAATTCATGTATTTCATGTCTTCCAAAATTAGTCAGAAATGCCTTAATGTGTTCATTTGTAAGAAATATCATTTTTGTTCTATAAGAATTTCAAATGTAAATTAAGTCGACTGTATTTAAGAAAGCATCTTTTGAATGTTCTTCCTTTTTAATATGCTGTGTGTTTGCACATTGGAGAAAACACTTTTTTTTAATCTATATCTTCTGAATTTGATTACTTTCCACAGATACAACACACTCAGGGGAAATTGGCACCAAGAAAAAGGTGAAACGACTGTTAAGTTTTCAAAGATACTTCCATGCATCGAGGCTGCTCCGTGGATTTGTCCCACAAGCCCCCCTCCATCTGCTGGATGAAGACTATCTCGGACAAGCCAGGGTAAGCTGGTTACCCCTCTATGCCAGTAGCCAAGAGCACGTTCCTCTACTGACAGCCCCCAGAGCTTAGTGCTACACCACTGCCAAGATTCCAGCGAGCTATTCAACACAGCAAAATTTTTTCTCAAACAAAATGATGGAAATACCCACTTCATTTGAGTGATGCAGACGTTAGATGGAGTGAAGCATGGATGCGTGCCTAATATATCCCCCAGCACATGCTAGTTATTTATTTTTATCAACGTGCAAAATATTTGTACAACACTAAGTAAAATTTTGGACTGGGGGAAATAGCTACTTAGCTCTTTCACTGTTGTGAAAGTCTTTAATAGCTATTTAGCTATTTCCTCCACTGAATTATCTCGTTGTATTAGCGCCGCTGAAATTAACCCAATAATTACCTATCTTAGTTCCACCTAGAGCTATTAATATGATATGCTGATCTCCTAATCATCTGGAACTCATTTAAGTAATTTTCGCTCATTTGACCTTATTTTTGCACAGCATTGCTTTGACTGAGAATAGCTGTCAATGAAACAATCTTTTAAAAAAAAAGTCCCCAGGTTGTCTCTAACCCAAACTGCCAAGAGAATATAAATTTCAGAAGTAAACTGCCTCCATTAAACAAAAGCCAAAGGTAGTTTCTCATAGTTTACATGCTATGGAATATTATGCTATCTATGTACTATTAAGAAATGTATACTATCGATATACTCTATCAAGAGCAGCAAGTGACATCAGAAGCCTAACTGTCAGCATTAGATATAAACAAGGAAAGTAAATCACTCCTTCTAGCACGCCAAGACCTGAGGTTGAGTGAATGTTTCTTTCGCCAGTTGATTAGTTAGCTTTTGGTGACAGGGGCACAAGACCAAACCCTCAGAACAGGGCACAGTGGGGGAGCACTCCCCTGTACCCCCTCTTCAGAGAGTTGTGCTGAGAGCTAATGAACTGCAGGACAGAAGTCAGGTTATCATATCAGGGATAAGCCCTGGCTCTGCCGTACGGTAGTATGGCTTGGGTAAAATGCTCCCTCAGTCAAGAGCCCTCAAGTAACCTGCTACCCTCTCCTTCCTCTGACACTCCTGTGAAAGTCTTTGCAGTCTATGATGAGGCCTTGAGTTCTTCCTAAGACATAAGGAAGCCTTTAAGTGCGGTAGGAAAGGGTCGGCTGGTGCTTTTCTGAGCCGTAACTGCAGAAACAGAGGAAGGCAGAGAGAGGGAGGCACAGTGGCAGGAGCTGCAGTGAGAACAGAATCAGCAGCTGCAAGCCTGTCTGAGAGTTAACACCATCTCGTGTAAGCATAGGATAGCTTTAAAAAGAACAATCCAGCACTAGACAATAAGTCTTTAAATTATGCACCCTGTTCTGTTGCCCACTTTTCGGTGTCTTGTCTGTTACAGTGGTTAATTTCACATTAAATCCAAATGCAGCAGAATAAAGTGCTTAGCAATCATTTTGATTTCATTTTGAAAGAGTTGCTGTAGACCTCCTCCCTTCCAGGTAGAACAGTTTGTAGTGACTTTGCACAATATCAACACATTTATAACATGTGTGCATTTACTATGTACATGTCTTGGTCTAGGCACTTTGTTATATTACCTTATTTAATTCCTATTACTACTCTTAGATGTAACATTCTCGGTCACCTTTTTCAAGTTAAGAAACTGAGGTTCAGAGAGGTTAAGAACTAACGAAGATCCCACAGCCAGTCAGCTGATTTGAAACCAGGAGTCTGACTCCGAAGCCAGCCCCGTTAGCACAGCTAGTATTAGCAAACAAGTAAGATTTGCTTACGATAATCCAGTTAGACGTAGAGTATAGTATGCTACTATTTTCAACTTGTTAATTGTTTCATTCATCATATTTCAAAGTAAATGTTTGAGTCTCTGAGATGATTCATTTGAGTGCTGTTTCTGTTTGCCTTTTCAGCATATGCTCTCCAAAGTGGGAATGTGGGATTTTGACATTTTCTTGTTTGATCGCTTGACAAATGGTAAGTCATCCAAACAATTTGCACTACAATACACACCATAAGTGGGATTAGTTTTATGAAAACAAAATTTATTTTTAAGCACCGTTATTCTTCTTTTCCTCCTTCCCCCACTTTCATAAATCTACAGCTACTCAAGAAGGACTAAGACTCAGAAAAATTAATTCAAATAAAGAATAAGAACTGAATTTGGCCTTAGAAACTTAACACAGTTTCCTTCTGGCTTTAGCGATCTTAGAGGAATTTGGAAGTCACAGGTTTGATTTTTTCCTATAGAATACTGTGGTCCCAGCCAAAAGGAAAAAGTCATTATTAGTCAATAAGGAAAAATGCAAAAGAGCAGCTGCTCAGTTCTGACACTCACAAGTAGGTGTTCATGCACTTTCCCTAAGAGTGTTGGATCTCCCCCCATAAGCATTGTTCAGGTACTTTCGGCATCCCCCAAAGAAAACAATTCCTGAGAATAGAGTGTAAACGTTTATACTGTTGCTAGTGGGGGAAAGAGATCTTACATGTTGTGCCTGTAGTGGTTTTCTTTAAGAATATTGTAAGATCTTACTATATTTTCATCTGCCCATGAAATGGGTGCTGATCAGGGAATCAATAAGGAACATCACATCTAATGCTAACCTTCCTGTGTCCAGACACCTATCAGGTGGATGCTTTTAGTCATCATAGACCATTTTCTCACCATTCTGTTACTTGACAAATGATGTATAGAAAAGAGAACACAACCTAAACTCATGAAACTTTATGCTGTAGAAACTAATGGGTCTTTATAAGCCCAATTCCATTATCTTGTACTTCACTTTCCTCAGCTCTACTGAGATGGATACCGGTAATGAAATTTACTGTAAACAAAATAACTTATTCAGTAGTTGCTAGAAAATGGGTATAATCATCCTCTCACAAAAATTTGAAATGAGGAAGTCAAAGATTTTATTGAAATCAATTAATTAGAAATTCATATAGATGCCCAAACTGGTTCAAAGGAGAAGTCAAAGAGTCACATGTACATAAGCAGTAAGAAAAGCAGAAATGATTTTTAAATAGCTACAAAATTGGTTAGGACAAATCAAGTTTATTTCCACCAAACTAACTTTATTTGCATGTGTCCGGACAGAATCACCTGCAATGTTATCAGCTAGCTAAAAGAACATGAAAGCTGCATACATAAAATGGGGTGCTCTGGTAACTGTGCTTAGGCAGCACCTAGGTTTCCATTAAAGACATTCAGTCACCTTCTGTTCCATGTCAATGTCTTTCATAAACTCTATAGTTAAAATTCAAAATTATTACCTAATCAATAATATTTCTTGAATGTTTCAAAGTTATTATAGCTTTAATTTTTCACTTCTGCTGACAAATTATAAAATGGTCAAATCCTCATTTTGGGTTACTTTCCATAGCTTCTGCCCTATAAATGTAAGTAAATGTAAGTCTATTGGAAGAAATTTAAGACACCTTTCAAGTGACCATTTGACTGTAATCTAAAAATGTGTGTATGTGTGTGTGTGTGTGTGTTTTTCCCTCCTCCCTCAATCAGTAGACATCTCTCAAATATCTTCATTGTCTGAGTTAATTTTACTTGTATAATAAGAGAAAGCAAGGACCAGACCATGATAATAATATTTTTTATAATTAACTAATTGCAAATCTAAAGGAGAGGGAATTTCCCTACTAGGGAAATTTTATTGCAGAAACTTTGGATCTTACAGTCAATCTTGATATTTTTATGGTGATGAAAATGAGTTAAAACAGGTGATTATTCCTACAGGAAACAGTCTGGTAACACTGCTGTGCCACCTCTTCAATACGCATGGGCTCATTCACCATTTCAAGTTAGACATGGTGACTTTACACAGGTTCCTAGGTAAGTGGTTTTTTTCTACATTCCTACACCCACTCACACAAATAATGGCAATCATAACATTTTTTAATATAAGGTAGCAAGAACATGCAAAAAAATGAAACTAGATCACTGCCTCTCACCATACACAAAAATCAACTTGAGGTGGGTTAAAGACCTAGACATAAAAATGGAAACCATAAAATATCTGGAAGGAAAGATGGGCCAAACACTACATGACATACACTTCAGCAGCATCTTTAAAGATAGAGCACCCAATGCAATGATAGTGAAGGTAAGGATAAATAGATGAGACTACATCAAGTTAAAGAGCTTCTGTACAGCAAAAGAGACATTACAAAAGACAGACAGCCCACTGATTGGGAAAAAATTTTCTCATACGAAACTAGCAATAAAGGATTGATCACAAAAATATACGGAGAACTGATGAAACTCAGCAAAAATAAAGTAAACAACCCCATCAAAAAATAGGCAGAAGAACTAAAAAGACACTTCTCCAAAGAGGAAATGCAGATGGCCAACAAGCATATGAAAAACTGTTCAACATCACTCGTAATAAGGGAGATGCAAATTAAAACCACAATGAGATACCACCTCACCCCAGTGAGAATGGCACATCTTCAAACAACTAGCAACAACAAATGTTGGCGAAGATGTGGAGAAAAAGGAACTCTCCTGCACTGCTGGTGGGAATGCAAACTAGTACAACCACTATGGAAAACTGTTTGGAGTTTTCTCAAACTGCTAAACATGGAGCTTCCCTACGACCCAGCAATCCCACTCCTAGGTATCTACCCAAAAGACACAAAAACACTGATTCAAAAAGATACCTGCACCCCCATGTTTATTGCTATTTTATTCACAATTGGAAAGACATGGAAACAGCCCAAATGCCCAAAAATGGATGACTGGATTAGAAAGATGTGGTACATATACACAATGGAATATTACTCAGCAATCAAAAAAACACATGCCTTTTGCAGCAACCTCGATGAAGCTGGGAAAGATCATGTTTAGTGAAATAAGCCAGAAAGAAAAGGAAAAATACCAGATGGTTTCTCTCACAGCAGGAATATAACGGAACAGGAGAGAAAATAATGATAATGATGAGCAGCTATATACCAGAGATATTTTGTGCGGGTGGAGTGGGGAATGGGATCAAAAACAGTGGGGGGAGGGAAATGCACTGGACTATGGTGATGGCACATGGGTGATTTGGTGATGGGAAGCCCAAGGAGATTGCAAATGAGATGGAAAAATGCACAAAATGATGTAAAAATAAACTATTATTTATATAAAAAAACTTAGGTAAAAAGCAAAATAAATAAATAAATAAATAAATAAGGTAGCAAGAACCACAGTATGCAGACCTCAACCACAGTATGCAGTATGAAGACCTCAAATTATCTCATTAATTTGTAAAATAAACCCAATGAATAAAGGTATATATAGCAAAAGAGAAATACTGGACATCAGCCAGAACATGGTTCAGTTCCAGAAACGCAAATAACCCAAGCTGATTGTATTCCGACTGCTTGAGTGAAGCAATGATCAGCAATAGGGCCACATGATTCTGACTTGCTTCAGACATGTACTTTGGACATATATATGCACCCTGAATATTTGTAAGCTCTGCAAAGATTAGATAATAGATCCCAGAGTCAAATTTATAGCATAGGCTGCGAGAATATGATCACACTTACAAATCTGAATATTCTGTACATACTGAATATATTGCATCCTAAGCTTTGCCAGGATTATTAGCAGACTAGTGACCTTTGTAAATAGCAAACCAAATTGCCTTGCTTAGATCTCTACTTGTTTCCAACAGCACCTGGTCTTTAGATTGGAAGGGCATGAAAAATGATAATTTAATCTGATTAAGGTAGAAATAAAAAGAAGGATCCTTGTTGGATCGGTGCAGTACTTCGAGTTTCTGCCTGATGTAGCCCCTAAATTTGCTTTGGTCAGTCAGTGTAACTCAAGTGATAAACCAATCCTTGAATATCAGAAATCTGATGCTACTGTGCTTTTTTAAAGAAAACCTCTTTTATGGTGTATTATTCATAGATGGCAGCAAACTTAAATAATTAAACTATAGTGTGAACTGAAGTTGTCCTTTTCCTACATATTTATTTTTCCTATGAATGAGAACCTTCATAGATGCCAGAAAGGGGCAATTTATGAAGGTGGTGAGGAATCCCAAGGGCCTCACAAATCCTTTTATCCTTTCTTCTCTCTGCATTCCCCCTCCCCTCCACTAAAAACAGCCCAGTAAGAGCTGCCAAGCTTGCAAACCACATTCATTTTTTAAGGATCCCCAGACGGCACATTTTGGAGACACTAATATTTTTAAGAAAAAGGGATCCTCAATAAGGCTGAGCTAGTATGCCCTTCCTGTTTGACTTTGAGCTTACTGAGGTATCTGTCTCCTAGTCATGGTTCAAGAAGATTACCACAGCCATAACCCGTATCACAATGCTGTTCATGCAGCCGACGTCACCCAGGCCATGCACTGCTACCTGAAGGAGCCAAAGGTAAGGCAAGACCCGCTGCCCCCTCAGCCATGTGGAAATGCCAAGTAAACTACCTGCTAGAGCCCAAATTACCCAACAGATCGGAGTAACTGTGTTATGGGTTATTCACAACACATGCAATTATTTATATTCAAGTTCAGGAATTAGCTCTGAAAATCATGAAAGAGAATAAAAATTGCCTGAGGCTTATTTTCATATTCTGCAATAGGACAAAAATAATCTTCTCTATGACAGTCTACCTCTCAGATGTTATTTAGCTGTCTTAACTTAGAGCTTTGCCATAAACTGGACCAGTATTGAACTTTTGTGGAGAAGGTCTCTCACCTCATGGTTTTGATCTATAAATAAAATCAAAACCCCTTAATACTTAAGTTCCATTTCCTGCAGAGACAAGTGGACAGCCTGACTCAGTCCTAAGAAAACTTGTGAATGACAGAGACGTCCTAGTAAGCACGCGTTGATGTGATAAACCAAACCAAACTTTAAAAAATGGGAATAATGCTCATTAATTGAAATCTAGACATTGCTTTCCTATGTAAAACTTTGTTGGTGTAACGTATAGAATAAATTTTCTTTAGATTTTTGGAAAGTCATATCTTAATCCAATACTCAAGTTAGTTCATTCAGTTTTAATATCGATCACCAAATATACAGGTATTTCCAAGACAAAACTGGGTAGATAGGTGCCTCATCCCTTTAGAATATCCCAAAGACATTAAAGATTTTGGGGTTTAGTCTCTAAAACTTGTAACACGCCACACAGTTGTATGATTAAGTTAGTACTGGCTTTCCATTTTTCTGAGTGTTTTCCTAGCTAACCAGAAAACAAGAGATTTTCATATATTCCTTTACTATTTATTGAACTCTGGGAAAAAATATGCAAATTTTGCAATTTTGGCTTCTAATTTCATATTCAAAGAAGTGGTAATGATACACTGGATAAGTTAAAATACACATTTTTTTAATATGGCCGTCATTCGGTTCAGCTTTTCCCTTCATGTATAGCTTTCTCCAGGAATGAGATTGTTGCCAGACTCCGCCTTCCCCTGCCCACCACAGAGCAGTGTTGCCAACAGGCAGTACACTACTGCCAAACAACAGGCTGGCTTTAGGGAGAGGAGGCTACTTAATGGACAGGCACAAGTTGAGCTATTAATTATTCCTTTTTTTCCCTGTAATTCCATGAGACTAACTTCATTGACTACTTTCAGAGGCTCAAGTTCTGAATGAAAGCCTGTGCAATACTACGATGACTCACTCAGTTGAACTTAGCCAAAACAAAAGCCAACCAATTTGATTTTCTCACAGCTTGCCAGCTTCCTCACCCCCCTGGACATCATGCTTGGACTACTGGCTGCGGCAGCACATGATGTGGACCACCCAGGGGTGAACCAGCCATTTTTGATCAAAACTAATCACCACCTCGCCAGCTTATATCAGGTAAGGGAGCCAATATCATGCTAAATGACAATCCAACTACCTGAAGCCCAGCGCAAGAGTTTGATCCCACCCATGGAGATAGCCTTCATTCAGGGTCAGCTTTAATGAGGACCACAACCAACGAGCCTGGCTTTGAAATTGGTCCAGGTTATTACCCAAGGGAGATTAAATTAGTTTACCAGAACAGTCAGGTATTGTTTGCTCCAAAGTAGTTTTGAAGTTGTCTAAAGTGAAATAGGATCCCTAAGCCTCTTGTGATTTAATAATATCTATCTCAATGAAACCATCTTGTATATAATGTCCAGTTGCAATTAGTCCTTGTAGAACATCTATACATGGTATTTCCTAAAGGCAATATGAGTTCAAATTCATGTCCTTAAGGCCATTTCTGAACTCGATTTACCTCTGAGTCAGAGGTATGTTAGCAAAATCTATAGGTAGACTTTGATGCTATGAAATATTGAATAGCGTGAATAGGTTGGGCTGAAAACTATTATTCATTATATTTTTTCTGATATTAACTAACTTGTATCATAAATGAGCTATTCTCAGATTGCCAACATAGTTCTTTAGAGACTTCAGTTGTTGACAACATCATTATATACAGGGAATCGTGGATCTCAATTTGGGCAGAGTCTCTTGAAAAAAGCCAGTGCTGAGAAACAAATCATCAGACACTGACAACAGGATGATAATTTCCAGAAGGGAAATTATGGGGGAGGGGAGAAGGAAAACGGGATGGATTGGAAGATGGTGGGTGGAAACATGACTTTTTGTGATGGTTGTGGTGTGATACACACATTTTTTGAGATGTGAAAGTGTCCTCCTGAAACCTATGTGTGTGACATACCAAAGTTGCCTCAATGAAAAAAAGAGCCCCTAAAGGCTTCCCACAATTGCATCATGCAAGGCGTTGGTACCTTATTGCCAATAAAGCACAGTTGGAACATGAGGGGGAAAGCCTTTCCATCCATTGTTCAGCCTTTGGCACAGGTGGAAATGGGAATCCTAAGGTTTATGAATCCACTTGCTACATACTTCAGCTCAGGACTGCAGCCACTATCCAAAGCTGGGACAGATACAGCCATTGGGAGGGGACAGAGTAACAGGAGAAAGACTTCTGACCATGAGCTAAAAACTAATAAAGAAAAATTTAAACTACAGCTAAATTGTCTGAACCATCTCAGAAAGTCAACTTATCACTTGGGGAAAATAGACACTTGACTTTAGCAGAAAAAATAACTGGACTACATGCTCTCAAATAGGCTTTGTTCCTGTACATTCTTATTACTTCAAATATTTTTATTAGACAAAAGAAATCAATCAACAGTTGATATAAAGTAAGTGCTTATATAATTCTAACTTTTTATCATTGAATAAATCATTTAAATAAATGAAATTATCATTTATTATAATAGTTATTTATAGTAACTATTGCTACTGACTGATACATAAAATGAGGGCCATGGTCCTTTGACATGTAGCACATAAAACCACATGATAAATTCCCATTCAAACAGGAAGACAGAAAGGAAGGTGCCAGATGTAGAGACACACAAACAAGAAAATGTAGAATGGCATTAGTAATGAAGAATTGCTCACTGCTTATTACCAAAGTTATCCCAAAAGAAAAATACTCCAACATACCTTATTCAGATACTAGAAGTGTTCTCCCAAAAACAGTTTCATTCTTCAAACCTTCAAAAGAAGATAAATTTTAACAATTTTACCTGTAATCTCTTTGAAAAACATAAACACTTCAATATATTCAGACTCTGCAGAATTTTTAGCGTAACATATAAGCTAATAAATTTTTAATCAGCAACTATTTATTGCATATACAGGACTAGAACTTAGTCCTGTATATGCAATAACATATACATATACTAGAACTTAGGAATACAAAGATTTATAAAATATAATATTTTCCCTCAAGTTCATATCTGCTTAAACTCAGATCCTGAAAATGTGCAAGACCTAAGCAAATCTGACCCCAATTAAAATATGTTTGAGGAATTAAATATAGCTATAAATATAAATATAGATAGATGACGCATGCACTTTTTTAAGTCTCTGTACTGTTTTTTGTAGTCAGTGATGCTACTACAATAAAATGAGTGAGGTTTTTTCCCAGCAGTGAGTCTATCCATGTCAAGATGGAGAGGATCCCTATCAGAAAAAGAAGGATCCTTTCATGACAAGAAAGAAGTTGAGATTAGGCTCAAACACCACATTCAATATGCCTTCATCAGTTCCCTATTCAACTGATCTTAGGATTTAAGACATGCATCATGTCTTTAAGTTTTAGGGATAGGTTCAGTGTAAACTATTATCACACAGTATCACAAAGGTACTACATTGCCTAAAACTAGCTAGGATCGAAGCTGAAACTTTTATCAGCCAGAGACATAATCTGTTAAGACAAATTGCTAACAGGACATGAAAATATTACATTTCAGTTTTGCTCCAAAAATATGTTGTCTCTTTTGAATAATACATATTATCTTTTATATTGGGTTAAAGGCCACTGATGATTAACACTGTAGAAGCTCTTCTAAAAAGAGAAAGAAAATCCCCTGCAAAATCTAGTTCAGCAAATTGTATAACTACTCTATTTAATAGCTACCATAATACATGATCCAAATGTATGCTGAATGTTTCTCATGTCTGATATGACTTAGTCTTCACAAAAGACCAGTGAGGTAAGTCCTGTTAGCACATATATTTTCCAGAAAGAGGGAAACTGATACTTAGAAAATTCAAGTGTTTTCTCTAAAAATAAGCAGCCTGTTAATAGCAGTGCTGGGTTGTTGTTTGTCTCCAGAACTGAAGTGTCCAAACAACATACTCCTTCCAAAATTCATATTTGCACACACCTATTGTGTGCAAGAATAGCACCTACTGTGCTAAGAATTCACCAGGCCCTTATTACAGTAAAGGAGATAAGAAGAATAGGGGCAAGGGATTAAAATGGGGGAGACCGACCCTCCCTGGTGGCACAGTGGGTTAACCATGCTGCACTGCAAACTGTCCACCACTGCTTCAGTGCAGGTTCGATCCCAGACCCCGAGGTGCTCCACATGGCGCGGCAGACCTCTCCTGACCCGCCCACTGCTCCCCTCAGCAGTGTATTTCATCGATCTGCCTGTCCTGCTCCCCACTCTGTCTCTGGTGAATCCTCTCCCCACCCCTGCACCTCTGGCTAGTACCCCAGTCTGAATGAATAAATCAATAAATCTTAAAAAAAAAAAATGGGGGAGACTTTGCTTAGTACCCTATAGTACATAGCTATGATCAAACCGTGATGGGAGCCGGCAGAGGGAGCCCAAAGGAGAGAAACTGCTTCCTTTTGGAGGAAGACAGGTATAAATTAAGCCATGAAGTGTGACTAAGAGGAGATGAGCTGAGAGGAGTCTCGAGCTAGCACAAGCTAGTGTGCCTTGGAGATTAAAACTACATTCCAGAATAACTGAAACTGGGCTATCCCTGTGACCTCTAGCTGAGTAGATACTGCCATGAATAACCCCTGTTCCCAGATCAATATCTTGGGTATATTATGATTAAATATTTATTTCCTCCTTTGTAGAAATTGTTGATTCATTATACAGAACATGACCTGGGTCCAAAAATCTGCACCAAGTTGTAAATGAGGAAATGGCTTGATTCTTTAGGTTTTCATCTTTAAGAAAACTGTGATGTAATGTGTAACATATACTATTTAGGTTGCACAAAATCTTTTTTTTTTAAGGTTGCACAAAATCTTTTTTTTTTTTTTTCATACAAGAATTGAGGCCCAGGCCAGAAGTAGTGGCAGGGGAGGGTGGTGAGAAGATTCACCAGAGACAGAGTGGGGAGCAACACAGGCGGATCCACTGAAATACACTGCTGAGGGGAGCAGCAGGCAAGGAGACAGAAGAGGTCTGCTTTGTCATGTGGGTCACCCTTCTGGCAGAGGATCAAACTTGTGCTGCAGTGGCCAGAGGTGTGGTGGGTGAGAGGATTCATCAGAGACAGTGGGGAACAGAACAGGCAGATGACGAAGTACACTGCTGAGGGGAGCAGCGGGCAGGTCAGGAGAGGTCTGCCGCGCCATGTGGGTCAGCTCCTCGGTTGGGGATGGAACTCATGATGCAGTGGCTTTGGAGAGACTCATAATGCAATGCTTTAACCTGTTGCTCCACCAGGGAGAGCCCAATTTTGTGGTTTTAGGAACACCCCGTGTGTGACTTTGCCTCAACCCAGACTTAGGGTGTAAATGGTAAAGGGCTTCCTCGCCATCCTGGCATTGACTGTGTTCTTTTAGAACTTATACATAAGAAGATCATCACATAATCACCAGCCTGTGCCTCTACCCAGAGATGAAAAGGAAGCCAGGTGAGCTGGAGTAAGGCCAAGTCAGCGGGACTCCTTCCCTTTGTCTGCTACCTGAGCTGAGCTCTCTAACTGAACTGCCCGCCCAAGTTCAACATGAAATGATAAAAGCACTTCCACCTTCTACCTCTTTTGTCCCTGAAAATAGTACAGGTATCCACAACAAACTGAGAAGGAAAGGAACATGTCAGAGATAGACCTGAGAATTTGTCTCTTGTCCTTCCAACTTCCAACCCCCCTACATGGGTGCATTAAACAATTGCATAAAATAAGCATTAAGGGCCCTCCCTGGTGGCGCAGCGGGTTAAAGCACAGCCTGAGAAGGTAAAGCCACCTCCGCAAGAGTTCGATCCCCACCTGCCCCGGAGGAGATCCACATGGTGCGGCAGACCTCTCCTGACCCGCCCGCTGCTCCCCTCAGCAGTGTACTTCATTGATCTGCCTGTTCTGCTCCCAAGCTTGTGTCTGATGAATTCTCTCACCATACCTGCACCTCTGGCCTGTACCCCAGCACTGTATGCATAAATAAATAATTTTTTTTAAATAATAATAAGCATTAAATCAGATACAATATTGGTTATTACAATTTAAAATAAGTAACTTTCAGGTAAACTCAAAATTTACTCCTC